CTCTCCCCTCCCCCTTTGTAATGGCTCTGAACCACAGCATCTATTACTCGTACCTTAGGTTTAAAAGCTATAAGCTTGAGAATGCACTCTAGGTACCCCCTATTACTTCCAACCTTCCGTCCCTTCATTGATTCTCCACTCTCCCCTCCCCCTTTGTAATGGCTCTGAACCACAGCATCTATTACTCGTACCTTAGGTTTAAAAGCTATAAGCTTGAGAATGCACTCCAGAAGAAACACTGCAGTGAACCCAATATTGAAGCCATCTAACACTCGGGTGTATAACTTAGGTTCTTCATAATACTGTTGAGAAAGAGGAGAGAAAACAAGAAAACAGTCCATAGGCCATTTTACAGTTGTGTGCTCAGTGCCCTAGCCTTTGAATAGACGCGAGGCTGGCGGTGACCTTGTTTTGTTACAAACCTTCTTGTTTTTCATATGTAAATGATCATGTTCACGGGCTTGTTAACATGAGAATACCACGATTTCCACTTGAAAAGCAGGCAGGTTTGTAACAAAACAAGGTCACCGCCAGCCTCGCGTCTATTCAAAGGCCAGGGCACTATGCACACAACTGTAAAATGGCCTATTATACATAACTAAACACAAACGTGGAAGTCAGACGTAGAGTTAGGTTTCCTACCAACTGTTTACACTGTGCCTCCAACAGCTGGTAATGGAGCCATGTAAGACTCTGAACAAAATTGATTGGTGTAACCATTCACCGATATCCTTGTTCTAGGCCTCTAACGGACTCAACGAATTACCAGAAATGTGTTTCAAATTTCCCTTCAACCTGATTAGCAAATCGACAATGGCTTTTATAGCGCATACTCAAATCCTAACACACAGGCGGTGGCGCTGTGTCGCAGAGGGATTAACCAGAAGTTTAGTTCAGTCTGTGGCGCAGCCAATGTGTAAGGAGTACTTGGACTAAGTCACATTAAAACGTTACACCAACTTAATTGCAACAGCAATTCAATCTAAATGTCACAGTGTGACGACATAGCGTGACTCTCGTAACACTTGCACCGGATAGAGCACGCCACGCGCAGTACCATGACACAGTTATACATACCTGCATCATCAGCACCACTGTGTTGCACACAATGAAAGCAAAGATGAGGTACTCGAATGCCTGTGACGTCACCACACGCCATATATGGAACTGGAGGCGGTTATCTGGAATGTACCTTTTCAATGGTTTGGCCTTCAGAGCGAACTCAATACACTGACGCTGAAAACATTACACGGAAAAAACAAGAAAATTTTATTTCTGTGGTCGCAGGTTCACCCGCTATCACACTGCCATAGTCCTACAAAGGGCAAGACCTGCGTGTGGCTCGGATGACCAAGTCAAAATAGCCATCTTGTCTCCAGCTGGAGACTTTAAAACGGTGTCCTCAATTCGTACTTCTGTCGGTTCTTGACCACTCGCCACTTTAGAAATGCGAAACAAACTGGGACGAGTTAGTTTTCGGCAAAGTTTCTAGGATCGCTACTGATCGCCAGTCATCTATTGACCAATTTTTCTCCTGTCCCCAGTAACATTCCCAGCGTGGCCGAGCGGTTAGTGCGCTAGACTTGCGATTCAGAGGCCCCGAGTTCAAGTCCCGCCTTGGCCGCTAGCTGGATTTGTTCCTCGACCATTCTTGTAAAATAGCAAACTGGTTCGCCTTCTACCAGTTGGGATTCTTAATCATATTATGTTTTTTTTAAATTATTTGTTTCATTATTTTTTATTTTTTCTATAAGTCTTTGCGAAAGTAAACTCGACATGGTTTCCTTCCCGTTGATCTAAAGTTTTTATTGTGCCAGCTCATTTTCATATTGAGCTTACGCTAAGTCTATTCGTGAGACTCTAAAGAACTAATATCAGGACAGGCACCTTAGCCTCAAAAACACAAAGAAACAAAACAGCAAAAGTGTTCTCGCTAACCTGATTCTTGTCAAGTTCACAGCCTTTAAACTCTTCTTCTCCTTCGCTTTGAAATGTGACAATCACAAAACCGACGAAGATGTTGACCATGAAAAAGGCGATGATTATGATATATATTATGTAGTAGATAGCGACCCATGGACGGTTGTTTTGGTGGGGTCCTTGGTCTGCCTCAGTCGAGTCAATTGAATTCTCCAAAATACTGTAAAAAAAATAGCCATACAAACAGTTTTGGACGATCTTTCTCAATAAATTTTGTATTATTAAGTACCGAAATACAAACGGTACCAGTAGGCGCAACAGATGAAGAGGTTTCACTTGCTTTCAATAAAAGTAACAATATTTAGAGCTCCCTTTTACTATGGAAAAAGTCACACGACAACAGTCATCCTTAAGAGCTTCTCCAGCGTTCTTATAAATTCTCAAAAGCTTAGATATATAAAAAGAAACGTGTTTCTCGATTAAAACGCCCCATAAATTGCGCTAGTGCTGGTGATGCACTCACTTGATTTCCAATGGGGGGCGGGGGGGGTGCATTTCTTTGAACACTTTATGACTACTCACCCTGGCCATCCCTCAAAGGTCATAACAGTAAACAGCGTGAGCATGGCGTTACCAACATTGTCAAAGTTAAAGTCATGTCTCTTCCACTCTCTCTGCATTTCCTGAAACCGAATAGTAATTTAAT